GCTTGAACCCGGGAGGTGGAGATTACAGTGAGCCAAAATTGTGCCACTGCACTCCAGCCTGGGCAATATAGTGAGACTCTGTCTCAAAAAAAAGAATTACCCTGTCTTGGGCAATTCTTTATAGCAGTGTGAGAACAGACTTAATACAGTAAATTGGAACTACAAACTGGGGTAATGCTATAAAGATACCTAAAAATGTGGAAGCAACTTTGGAACTGGGTAACAGGCAGAGGTTGGAACAGTTTGGAGGGCTCAGAAGAAGACAGGAAGATGTGGGAAGATTTGGAACTTCCTAGAGACTTGTTGAATGGCTTTGACCAAAATGCTGATAGTGATAATGGACAATGAAGTCCAGGCTGAGGTGGTCTCAGATGGAGATGAGGAATTTGTTGGGAACTGGAATAAAGGTGGCTCTTGCTATGCTTTTCAGAGAGACTGGTAGCATTTTGCCCCTGCCCTAGAGATATGTAGAACATGAGAGAGATGATTTAGGATATCCAGCAGAAGAAATTTCTAAGCAGCAAAGTGTTCAAGAGGTGACCTGGGTGATCTGAAAATCATTCAGTTTTATGGGTTCACAAAGAGATGGTTTGGAATTGAAACTTATGTTTAAAAGGGAACCAGAGCTGAAAAGTTTGAAAAATTTGCAGCCTGACAATGCAATAGAAAAGAAAAACCCGTTTCTGAGGAGAAATTCAAGCCAGCTGCAGATACTTAAGTAACGAGGAGGCAAATGTTAATCACCAAGACAATGGGTAAAATGTTTCAAGGACATGTCAGAGACCTTTGTGGTTCCCCTTCCCATCACAGGCCTGGAGGCTTAGGAAGAAAAAATGGTTTCATGGGCCAGATCCAGGGCCTTGCTGTTTTGTGCAGTCTCAGGACTCAGTGCCCTGCATCCCAGCTGTGGCTAAAAAGGACCAACATACAGCCCAGGCCATTTATTTAGAGGATGCAAGTCCTAAGCCTTGGCAGCTTACATGTGGTGGTGGGCCTGTGGGTGCCAGAAGTCAAGAATTGAGGTTTGGGAATCTATGTCTGAATTTCGGAGGATGTATGGAAATGCCTGGATGTCCAGGCAGAATTTTGCTGTAGGGGTGGAGCCCTCTTGGAGAACCTCTGCTAGGGCAGTGCAGAAGGAAAATGTGGGGTCAGAGCCCCCACACAGAGTCTCCCAGTGGAGCTGTGAGAAGAGGCATGCCTTCCTCCAGACCTCAGAATGGTAAATCCACTGACAGCTTGCACTGTGCACCTGGAAAAGTTGTAGACACTCAGTGCTAGCCAGTGAAAGCAGCTGGAAGCAGGGCTGTACCCTACCAAGCCACAGGGGTGGAACCACTCAAGGCCATGCGAGCTCACCTCTTGCATCAGTGTGACCTGGATGTGAGACATGAAATCAAAGGAGATTATTTTGAAACTTTAAGATTTAATGACTTCCCTGCCGGATTTTGGACTTGCATGGGACCTGTAGTCCTTTTGGTTTGGCTAATTTCTACCATTTGGAACAGAGACATTTACCCAATGTCTGTACCCACATTGTGTCTTGGAAGTAACTAAGTTGCTTTTGATTTTACAGGCTTTATAGGCAGAAGGAACTTGCCTTGTCTCAGATAAGACTTTGGACTTGGACTTTAGGGTTAATGCTGGAATGAATTAAGACTATGGGAGACTGTTGGGAAGGCATGATTGGTTTTGAAGTGTGAAAGGGACATGAGCTTTGGGAGGGGCCAGGGTCAGAATGATATGGTTTGGCTTTGTGTCCCCACCCAAATCTCATCTTGAAATATTATCCTGATACTCTCCATGTGTTAAGGGAGAAACCAGGTGGAGATAATTGGATCATGGGGGTGGTTTCCCTAGTTCTGTTCTTGTGATAGTGAGTTCTCCTGAGATCTGATGGTTTTATAAGTGTTTGATAGTTCCTCCTGAATTCATTCTTCCTCATGCTGCCTTCTGAAGAAGGTGCCTGGTTCCCCTTTGCCTTCTGCTATGACAGTTAAGCTGAGACCTCCCTAACCATGTGGAACTGTCAGTCAATTAAAGCTCTTCCCTTTCTAGATTATCCAGTCTTGAGCAGTTCTTTATAACAGTTTGAGAATGGACTAATACATAAGGATACAGAAATGTTGAGAGTAGAAAGAAAAAGCAGACACTAATGAAAAGTGGTACATTAATATTAGACAAAGAATATGGAAACAATATTCTGAGAAAAAGTTTAATGATCTTTCCTTTCCATATTTTAGGGTTCTTTTAAGGCAGTTCTGGTGGTAACCAATACTCTCAGTATTTGCTCTTATGGGAAGGATCTTACTTCTCCTTCCCTTATATAGCTTAGTTTGGCCAGATGTGAAGTTCTGGGTTGGAATTTTTTTTCTTTAAGAGTGATGAATATTGGCCCCCAATCTCTTCTGGCTTGTAGGGTTTCAGCTGAGAGGTCTGCTGTTAGTCTGATGGACTTGCCTTTGTAGGTGACCTGGCCTTTTTCTCTAGCTACTCTGAAATGTTGTGATTATTTGATTGTATTTTCATATTGATGGAAGAAAAAAGTTTATGTGCTTTGGTATTTATATCTGTGAATAAACACTTTAATATTAATTATTAAAATTTAGAACTGTTTTTATAATATATAATTATTGCATAATATTTTATAATTTTTAATTAGTAAAGAGAATATTTTCCATTTGTTTTTCAAACTTTAAACTGTAGAAAGTTGGTACTTTAGTTTTCTTGCCCTGAACTGCATTCTGTGGTGAGCTCTTGAAAATTATAGATCTGTTGCAAACTTGCAAACATGTTTAATGAATTCTTGGGATATTATGAAACACAGATCGAGAAACTATTAGGCAAAGTAAATACAAACTAAGGGTTACTCCTAAAATCAATTAAGGAAGGGTATGTTATTAGTTAAAAGTATCTGTGATTGTATATTGCATTGCTTGAGAAATTTAAATTGCAAAATGAGGAGTGCTTTTCGTTGTTTGCTGTTTAAAGAAATTATTTAAAAAATTATTTAATACTTGTAAATATTTAAAAATAGATTAAATTTTATTTTAATACATTTTAAATTATTTAAAATACAAATAAATTATTTAAAACTTATTTTATCTTAAAATAATTTTAATGCTTTTATTTTCTCATTAGAGAAGCAAACTTAAATGTAAACTATTCAGTGTAGAAGAATTAGAATATTTTGATAAGCAAAAATAATATTCTTCTTTATAAAAATTCTACCATATTGCATTGCCACCAGGAATGTAGAATATCTCATTTCCTACTGTCAAACAGTATGTGACCAAACTTCTTTTGAATTTTTACCAACCTGATAGGTGTGAAATGATATTTCAGTTTAGTTTAAATTTTCATTTATTTAATTATGAGTGAGATTGAACAACATTATTACATGTTTAGGGACATTTTTACATCATCTTGTGCATTGTCTGTGATTATATCTTTTGTGCATATTTTCACCTGCATTATTTTTTCCCTAGTTTTTAAGAGTTATTTAAATATTTAGGATACAAAAGGTGTGTGTGTGTGTGTGTGTGTGTGTGTGTGTGTGTGTGTGTATCTCTGCATACTTTTTTTGCTAGAGTTGTAATGGATGAACCATAATTCTTTCTCTACTTTTCTTTATGGAAAATTAATGGCAGTTTATAATAATTTTGGTAGTTCAAGGTATAGTTCAAGTTGTTGCTTCAGAACATTACTTCATTAGATGCTTGCCATGTGTCAGGCCCCTAGTTGGGCACTGAGGAGGCTTTGTGGAAGAAAGGCAGTGTTTTGCAGGTTACAGTTTAGCGGAAGAGATTTAAAACACAAATATTAACACTCTGCCAGATGCTGTGAAGGAGACATAAAGATGCTATGTGACTAATAACAGGGACTTGGGTTAGCTGGGTGGTCAGGAAGGTATTAGGATAGTTTTTAAAGCATTGCAGAGGTAACTGTCCTTTTTGGGGATTTTGATTTTATTATTTTTTTTTTTAGTACTTGTTTAAAACCATTCACCCAACAACTGAGATAATTAGGTCAACATAAACTCTTGTGTGATCAAAATGCCATGTAAGTTTAGATAGAGGGAGAAAAATGAAATAGATATTTTCTAGATTATATGGTCTTAGGTTGAACTAAAGTTTCTTTGAAGACTATAGTTTTTAATTTTGGTAAATTTTGAGGGTAAAGTAAATATAGCATTTTGCCATGTTTACTGTCTTCTTTAATTTTGTGATTTATTTAGTTTTTTAGAGATTTTCATTTTAGTAATTTTTATGTTTAGGTAGGAGTGGTGTTTTATCAATTCAGTGTTGTTATTACATGAAGTATAGATGAGAAGGTTAACACTTACACAAAATTTAAAGGGAAACAGTTTCCCTAATCTTGATAATAAGGAAACATTCAAGGAAGTCTTGATAAGCAAATGAAAAATATTAATAATTGGCATTCAATCTGAAATTAAATGTTCAAATGTATGTTTATGTATAAAAGCACACCTTGATTTAACTTCATGGCATGTTAATTTGAAAGTTTATAATTTAATTCCATAGAGAAGACTATTTTTCATTATGACTTGTAGAAAAATTTTTTCCTGTGATAACTAATGTTACAGTTTCTTATTTGGATAATAATAATATGTATCTTGAAAGATGTATTTTTAAAATATATAATATATCTTGAAATGTGGTATTATAATCAGGTTAAATATGTTGAAATAAATGGTCTGTAATTTAATTTTTAATGACTTCCTTTCTGTTGACAATTATGTTTTGTGTTGACTTGCAATTATTCTAGTGGTTCATACTGGTCAGGTTCCTACAGCAAGCAAGTAGGAAGTTCAGTTCCTTTTTTTTTGACAGTTGCTTGTTTACAGCAGAGAATCCCAGGGAGTAAGCTGTATTACTAGTAAATTAGACATCTGCCCAAAGAGCTCTATTTGGTAGTCCTTGACGTTACTCTGAAAGAAAGATGAATTTAATAAGAATTTTACCTTTTTTTTTTTCCAGACACTGGCCAAAAGAAGACCCTAGACAAGAAAGATGGGAGACGAATGTCTTTTCAGAAACCTAAAGGGACTATTGAGTATACTGTAAGTTATTTGCTTTCAAAAAAGCTATTTTTCTTTGTAAAAGTCTTCTTTAAGACATTCTCTGTTTATGCTATAAATAAGAAAAGCATTGTTAATTGCCTTATTTTTAAAAATCTGTATTTCACTTTGGATAATTGTTTTATTAATAGTAATACTTAAGTTTTTAGTTTTTTTTTTCTTTAAAGATAAATTTTACTGAGACACAAAGGTAGTTATCCTAGAAAATTTAATTTAATATAGATGATAATTTACTGAGAGAGTTCCCATGGGCCAATAATTTTTATTAGGTTAGGCTTTTAGGAAAATATTTATCTTTTCAGAAATGTGATCTTCATTATATTCCCAGCAGTGCTAGTGATAATTATAATGGCAGATGGGATACATAAAAGACAAGTTGATGTTAATCTTCCAGTGTAACCTTCCACATTAAATCATTTGTATTTATTTATAGCTAACTGCCTTTAGCTCTAAAAATTGAGCTTTTTTTTTTTTTTTTTTTTTTCTGTATTCTTGAAATGAACTTCAAATCTCCCTGCAGTCACCTGGCTTTTCACATTTCTGATTACTCTGGGAAACTGGAGTGAGAAATCAGCTTTGGTGTATGGTATGCTGCTTATTTGATTGAATGTAAAGATTGTTTATTTAGATAATGTTAACGTGTTGTAAAGCACTTTTAACTGAGCTTGATTTTGTTACCTTGTGTTTTTCTAACATAACTGTATTAAGGAGAACAGCAATTTTAAACATTAATTTAGCATTTGTGTCATTATGAAACCGTCCAGTCTTGGTTTGAATCTTATTTTCTATACATCTTTAAAATTGAACAAATTATTAAAATTCTAAGTTATACTCTATTTTAATATACTATTAGTATATAGCGGACAGTTTGAGATTTTAAATAGTTTTAAAAGGTTAGGAATCAGATAATTTAGGATGAAGTTAAATTTACTAATACCAAGATAATCTCATAGCATATTTTAAACTCAAATTGCATGTGTTTGTACCTTCTCTGCATAATTAAGAAAATAAGTTCAAATAAGTTTTTTATAGGTAACCTTTAAAATTTCTTCTTTGTCTTTACAATTCTGCAGTGCCAATATGAAAAATTTAGATTTAAACATGTTTTTACCATGTTTATTGTGTTTCTTCAGTCTAAGAAATCATGTCACTCATAAATTCTAGAAAAATTCTTGGTAATTATCTTTGATTGCATTTTCTCCTCCTTTCTCTATTTTCTTTCTCCAGAACTCTAATTTATTATTGAAACTAATTGTACCACATTTTGCTATCATTATGCTTCACTGACTTTGCTATTATTTTGATTGTTTGTCTACTGTCTACTTTGCTGGGTGTTTGCCTCCTCTTAATTCCCAATGTGAGTGGTCCCTTGTTTCTTTTTGCTTTTCTATTGACATTCTATTACTTGGAGTGCTTAAAAACTTTAAAATCTATGTGGAGTGAGACCCAAACTTTTTTTCTATGCCTACCTTTCTAGTTGCTTGCATTTCCTACTATCACTTCATCTAAGCAAAATATGACAAACCTCTTACCAATTCTTCTTCCCCCATCCACAATTCCTGATTTTCTCATTTCCATTCCCTTTCAGTTTGTTATTTATTCAGGTTGCAGTCTTTAGAGTCAGCATCAGTTTGCTCACTCACATTTGCTTCCCTGACCTACTACTGCTGCTGTCACCACAACTCCATTCAATCTATGAATGTCTTCTTGAGTCTTAGTTGAAATTTTGTACCTTAATTTCTTTCTTTACATTTTTATTACTTTAAACCTTGTCTTTGTTTTTCTGCATCCATTCTCTTTCTTGTTCCATTAATTCTAGCTCTGATGCCAGTAATATAAGATGCCACTTGGGCTGTTTTGTTACCTTCATTGTCTCATTTAATAGAATCACGGTGAGAATAAAATGTGTGATTATTAATATGAAAGTACTTGGTAAACTTACAGATGTTACTGTAAAATATCATTTGTTTACAGAGACCTTTTATATATATTATCATATTATTTCAGTAACATAGGTTTTATATCAGTACATTGTGTAGATGGGGAAGTTTGCATAGAAGGATATAGGCAGAACTAGATTATTATTATATTAACCCAAATATTTGGCATAAATTTGGTTTTATAAAACCGTTAAGGAAAATATGTATATTATTATTTTACATACACAAACAAATGCACACACACCTGCTTTTCCTGACTTTTGAAGTCTTCTATAACCTAATTCTAAATGCCTTTTTTTTTTTTTTTTTTGGAGACAGGGTCTTGCTTTGTCACCCAGGCTGGAGTGCAGTGGTGCTATCACAACTCACTGCAGCCTCTACTTTCCAGGCTTAAGTGATCCTCCCACCTCAGCTTCCTGAGTAGCTGGGACTACAGGCATGCACCACCACGCCCAACTAATTTTTGTATTTTTTGTCAAGATGGGATTTTGCCATGTTGTCCAAGCTGGTCTTGGACTCCTGGGCTTAAGCAATCCACCCACCTCGGCCTCCCAAAATGCTGGAATTACAGGCGTGGTCCACCATGTCTGACCTCTAAATGCCTCTTTATCCTTTTTAGAAACTTAACTCCATGTAATCACCTTCCTAAAACTTTGTGCTTCATGAATCTACTCTGGATGGTTTAGGAGGAAGAGGATAGTATCCCACAAATATATTATACTTTTCTGTCTCTTAACTATGTCAGGTCTGTTATCTTCACTTTGAAAGTTCGTTCCTTTCTCTCTGCTTTTCAAATTCCCAACCCTTCTTCAAGATCCAGCTTTAAATCATTTATCTTCTGTAGTCTTTTCTGGAAAATTTGGATTACATGATGCTTTTATTCATACTCAAAACTTCTATTGCATTCATTATTCCATTTTAAATTGTTCATCTTTTGCATAACCTTTTATTTCTTAGTTTCCAACTAGATTGTAAATTCCTTGTGCACTAAAACTACTTTTAGTTGCATTTAGTTGTGTTTTCTTCAGAGCTCTCTTAATGCCTTGTGTAATGGGGACTCTAAGTGGTTATATTATATTGAACAAATGACATTTTCTTTTAGGGTAATTGATAAAGTCTCATTATTTACAATTTCTATACATAGGACTATGGAAACATACGAATGATTCAGAACTAAATTGCTCAACTTTAGTTCAAATATTCTTCTAATTTATATGTGCAATAACAATATATGCATAAAGAGCATTAGAAGTAGCATTTTCAGTTTAATACAGGTGTACTTTGCTAAAATGAAATTAGTATATTACTAGAAGTTATAAATATTTTAGAAACTATTCAAAGGAATAGTATATTATTTTAAAATGTTTGTAAAATGAAAATAATTTGTTTTTGTTTTTTAAATTATGTTTTGTATTTTGAAATTACTTGAAGTAGAGACCTACATGTAAATGTATTGTGATGAAGCCTGTACTCTGTATTGTAATAGATTGAGAGCATTTGCTAACAAAACACAGTGTTTCTTGACAGTTATTTTCAAAGATGACAATATCGTTGTTAATCAAATGTAAGCTGGTCCCTAGATATATTAATGCTCATTAAATATTATAGTTTAGTTTTTCTGTTTTAAACATTGAAATAATTTATTTTCTCTTATAAACAGGTTGAATCAAGGGATTCTTTGAATAGCATAGCCCTGAAATTTGATACAACACCTAATGAACTTGTTCAATTAAATAAGTTATTCTCCCGAGCAGTTGTTACTGGACAGGTAGTATCTTTTTTTTTAATGTGCTGATGTTTAGAAACATTAAACAGAAAGGCAGAAAGTATACTTTGTACTATAGTTAATAATATAGAAGATTTGAGAATAATTTTATATGTGCTTTTAACAAATCATATTGGCGATATAAGAGAAAACTAACTGTTTTATGTCTGTATGAGTTTCTTTTTTAATACATATTGAAAATAATTGTAAATTTTTCTTTTTAAATATAAAGAGCTTTTAAAAATATTCAGAGCAATATATGCATATGATCAAAAATTACTTTATCAAAGTAAGGCATCCCTCCATCTCAAATTTGCAATTTCTTTTCCAAAAGCAATGAGTTGCCAGTTTGCATTTCTTTCAGGAACGGTCTAGCCTGCTTTTATTGTTGTTGTTGTGTTTTAATTTAACTTTGATTCTTGGAAAGTGTTCTGTTTAATCATAGTTCTAGTTCAGACTTTTTCACACGTGCATAGTATTGCATTGTATTGATATATCATACTTGTTTAGTTAGTCACAATAAGCATTACACTATTTCTAATTTCTACTCTTTTGCTAAGGTCAATACCGCTGTAGTAAACATGCGTATACGTATCTGTTTTTCTTTATGTGCAGGTATTTCTGTAGGGTGAATTTTTAGAAGTAAAGTTACTATATCAGAGGATATGTGCACTTTAAATTTTGCTCACTATTGCCAAATTGTCCTTTAGGATTAATACCTCTATAGTATATTAAAATTAATGTTTCCCCACCCTGTTACCGCCATACATATTATCAAATGTGTCTAAATTGATTTTAAATGTTCTTTTTTAAAAAATGTTTTTATATTTTTATAATTTGAAAATTTTTATGTTTTTCTATTTAATTGGTAATTGTTAGTAGTGCTTGCTTATAGAACAAGGTCATTGTTAATAGTGCTTGCTTATAGAACACCATCTATTATTAACACTTCAGTTTAACTAAATCTTTGTGTGAATGTTTTCTTACAGGTTCTATATGTTCCTGATCCTGAATATGTCTCCAGTGTTGAGAGCTCTCCATCTCTAAGCCCCATAAGTCCTCTGTCACCAACATCATCTGAGGCTGAATTTGATAAGACCACTGTAAGTATCTCTGATTTGCAAAGATGGCTATGAAGAAATCTCACCATGTCTACACTGACTGTCTTGTTTTTTTCTTTCCACTTTGACTATGGTTAGAATGAAATATTTACTTTTTATTTTCTTGCCTAAGTTTGTAAATTCCAGCTTTAAAAAATGACATTCTTATGAAACCATATAGCTTAAATTGGCTTACCTTTGTAAGTGGTGGTGGTGGGCCAAAAATATTCATCAACTCTTATTTTTTAAAGAACATATATAATTTAACTTACAAAGGAATCTTACCCAACAAACATGACATTATCACAGTAGAGGAAGTTCATGTTCAATTTGATGTTTATTTCATTTATAAATAAATGAGTATATAGTACTTAGAACTCTTAAGTGAGTTTAATTTTGACACAACTGCCTTTTAAAAAATAATTTATCATCTTAGTCATCCAAGATTTAACATAGTAGATTAATTTATCTAGCATTTCTAAAGAATGAGTGTTCTAATAACTTAAATTTTACAAATGAATTTCAGGGAACTAAACCTCATTTAATAATTTTGATTAAAATCTTCTGAAAGGAATTATATATTTATTTGCCTTTCTGCATAAATTAACTGTTAATGCTAATCATAATTTTCTGTTTTCATAACAGCTATTGTTTACATGTAAAAGGCTATTTCTTCATTAAATGGCCAGATTGCTGTGGGAGATTCTTCTCTGTTGTTCTCTTGACTTTAGGAGATAGCCTTTTCTTTGTCTCAATTTGCACTCAAAGCTTAAGATACCAGATGGCAAGCAAACTAGTAACAAAACAAATTATTAATGTTAATTTGCCTATAATTGTTTATTTCTAAGCTCTAGTATACCACTTTTTTCATGGAATAAATTGCATGGTATTATTAGTAACTATTTTTATCCTTGCCCAGGAACTTTTTTCTGCCTCTGTATGTGTGTGTGTGTGTGTGTGTGTGTGTGTGAGAGAGAGAGAGAAAGAGAGAGAAATGAGGTATTTTTCATTTATTTGTTGGATATCTTACTTATATAATTATGGCAATACTATGCTTTAGAATGCAGTCACATGAAAGGAATATATTACATTTGTTGTCATCATTGATAAGAATAGAAGTCAGGTTTTAATGGTAGGTATTACTTACCAAATGACACAGTACCTTTTTGAACATAGCCATGCCATTTTCCCATGGGACTTACAAAGAGATGTCCTCATAAGGGGCAGTGGCAAAGTAACTATGTAGCCTTAGGTTGATTTAGCCTGTGTTTCAAACCCTAAAGCAGAATTATGAAAATCTAAGCTGTAGCATCATGCCTGACTAGAAACCTGTGGGGTCTCTTCCAGTTCCTCAGCTTTAACCTAAATCTGCCTGTCTAGTGGCTTTCTTGGAAAGTATAAGATCAAAGAAAACAAAATGTTAAAAGTTAAGGGAGCAACAAGGCCAGGCGTCAACCTGTGTGAAAATGTGCCCCTTCTTACTTTTGCCATTTGACTGAAAGAGATAGAGAGGATAAAGTTATGTGAATGATCTTTTAATCCTCAGTGACTTAGCTACTGTCAAAGATGGACCAAAAAACTTCCTCTAATGTGGCCAGTGATATGAGTACATTCTTTGTCCCTGGGATAGATTAAAAAAAAGAGGTAAGAGATTCCTTAAAGAACTAAAAGTACATCTACCATTTGATCCAGCAATCTCACTACTAGGTGTCTACCCCGAGGGTAAGAAGTCATTATATGAAAAAGATATTTGCACATGCATATACAGCAGCATAATTTGCAATTGCAAAAATATGGAACCACCCCAAATGCGCATCAATCAACAAGTAGATAAAGAAAATGTGGTGTTTATATACCGTGGAATACTACTCAGTCATAAAAAGGAATGAAAGAATGGCATTTGTAGCAAGCTAGATGGAATTGGAGACTATTATTCTAAGTGAAGTAACTCAGGAATGGAAAACAACGTTGTATGTTCTCACTCATAAGTGGGAGCTAAGCTGTGAGGATACAAAGGCATAAGAATGATACAGTGACTTTGGGGACTCAAGGAAAAGGGTGGGAGCAGGGTGAGAAATAAAGGATTACACATTGGGTACAGTGTACACTGCTTAGGTGATGGGTGCACCAAAATCTCAGAAATCACCACTAAAGAACTTATTCTTGTAACCAAACACCACCTGCTCCCTGAAAACATATTGAAATAGAAAATAATTTTTTTTAAAAAAAGAGGTAAGAGTGTGCGAACTTCCCTTTACACGGAATGATACTCTTTACCTGCCATCAAAGAGATTATGGGCAATAGTTAGAAATAATTCTTACAACAGTGATTGTGTAAATTTTAGTTGTATTTTTTTTTAACCTAGAATTATATTCGTTACCAGACTCCAAGATAATATTTCTATGATTTTCTGCTTATCTCAAGTGCCTACATTTCTATATTCTAATTATTGGGTTTTATGTCTCCCATGCTGTATAAATCCATTAGAAGTAAGGATATTATGTTTTATTAGATATAGTTTATATTTTCATTACATTAATTAAAATAATGTCTATTAGTATTGTTATTATTTGTTTTTCCCAGAGATTGTCAGTTTATATTTCCAACAACTACTGATAAATTTTTTGAATGTCCAGCTTAGTAGTGGTTTACTATGAGGCTAAAAATATGTTCCTGGCTTTGTCAGCTTAAAGACTTTCATTGGTTTTTGAATAACTCATTTTCACTTAAAAAATTGCATTTTGAGAATTTTCATGGTAAAACAAATTTTTTTTGTTTATTTTTCACTTTTTTTGTTCACATATGGAGGAAGAAACAAGGAGATAGAACCAAAATAATGGTAAAAATCATAAAAATAGCTAAAATTTAGTATTGCAACAGGTATAATTCTAAACACTTTAAAAGTATTATCATTTATTCCTTACCTCAGATTTATGAGGTAGGCACTTGGCCTGGGTTTCTGTGTTTGTCCCTCCAGACTTACTCTGTATTCTCTAGTGTCCTTTGGGCAGTAGACTGCATCAATGGACTCTGTTGCCTTTTTGCTTCTGTTGGTGTTGGTCTTTCTGGAGCAGTTGCAGAAGATAAGAGGGAAGGAAAGAGAGAATAAGATGGGGACATATTTATTCTCCTAGCTCCTGCCCTATAAGGTTATTCCAGAGTGACCACATTCTTCAGCATCTCATCTTATCTTTTGTCATCCCTTTCCACAGAGCCATCTCTAAATTTAGGCATCTGTTTCTCCCCCTTGCCTCTTTAGGGATAGAGGAGTCTTCTGTTATTATTCACCCTGGGTTTTTGTACACTATATGCACCTTTGTAAATAGTTCCATAATTAAATCCTCTTAAAATTACTCAGTTTCTACCAGGCATGGTGGCTTATTCCAGTAATCCCAGCATTTCAGGAGGCTGAGGCAGGCAGATGACTTGAGGTCAGGAGTTCAAGATTAGCCCGGCCACATGGTGAAACCCCATCTTTACTAAAATTACACAAATTAGCCGGGCCTGGTGGCAGGCACTTGTAATTCCAGCTACTCAGGAGGCTGAGGTGGGAGAATCACATGAACCCAGGAGTCAGGGATTGCAGTGAGCTGCGCCACTGCCTTTCAGGCTGGGCTACAGAGTGAAGACTCTGTCTCAAAAAAAAAAAAAAAAAAAAAAGCTCAGTTTGATGTGCCATCTGTTTTTTTCTAGTACCTGACCAATAAGTATTGTATCCATTTTATAGAGGAGGAAACAGAGGAAGAGAAGTTAACTATTTTGCGTTTAAGGTCACTCAGCTAGTAGCTAAGCTAGGATTCTAACCCAGACAGACTTGGTTCGGAGCCCATATTTTTTTATTACTACTTTATAGCTGGAAAATGATAACTCGGAAACACTACTCTTGCCCAATAAATAACTGGACCCAAAGAGTTAAGTAACATTTAATCATTATAAAAGTCGGTATAGTAATAGCTACCACTTTGCGCTATCATCTTCCTAAGATTCTTTAAATCTCTCGTTTTTTGAATAAATATAGAAACCTGCTTTTGTTTTGTACGCCTTTGTTTTTTCTCTTTTGTACCTTAAGTTCACCCATTATGATAATGCCATTTTAGGCTAAAACTGTTAATGTGTTATATTCAGGATGAAGTTCAGCAGAAGAATGTTTTAAGTAATACAGAAAATTGAAATAATTTTAAAGTACTTATGTTTATATTAATATACTCTATTGAAGGATGGGATATGCAGGTAGTCATATTCTCTTTAAGATAAAGCACTTCACGTAGAATACTCCAATCAATCTAAAATATAAAAATAGAATATCAATAACAATTGAATTGGATACACATGGTGTATAAGACAATATAATTTTGAAAAAAAATACTATTAAGAGATTCTGGGGAAGGCCTAGGAAGTCCTAAAGGAGGAAAGAGGAAAAAGTATAAAATAGCAATAGAATGTAGGCATATTAAATCTTCCTTTTTAAGGATAGGCTGTGATTATACTGCTACAGTGGCTATTTTTTTTTTACTTAAAGAGTGCTTACTATGTATTTACTCTGTTCATTTCAGAATTTTAATTAATCTTTAACACTTTAATAACATTTTAATTACTTTATACCTTTAATTAATCTTTGACCCCATGAGGTAGGTACAGTATTCATGATCTGTATTTTAAAAAATGAGGAAAGTAAGGCATAGAGAGAAGAATGATGGTTAATAAGTGGTAGAACTAAGATTGAAAACCTGGCAGTCGAGGTCTAGATTCTGTGTTGTGTTCTTAACTACTTTTTATACTGCCTAAGTAATAAAATGATGACTACTAGCAAGTGCAGGTACTCTATAACTGAGACATATGATCTAAAATTAAATATATGTGTCACAATTTGTAGGAACTAGGAAGTTGGTAGTAAAGAACTGTGTGGAAGTAATGAATGAAATTTTTGCTTGGCCAAAGCAAAAATAAAAATGTAGAAGATGTAGAAATGTTTAATTACCTATATTAGTTTCCTAGTATTATCATAACAAAGGGTGACAAACTAGGTGGGTTACAACCAAAGAAATTTATTACCATACAGTTCTGGAGGCTGGAAGTCTGAATTCAGACTATTGGTACGACCATGCTCCGTTTGAAACTTGCAGAGGAGAATCATTTCTTGCTTCTTCTAGCTGGTGTTTGCCAAGTGTCATTGACATTCCTTATCTTGTAAATATGTCACCACTTTCTGCCTTGCTTATGACAAGTGGCCATCTACTTCCTGTGGGTATGTCTTCACATGGTGGTCTCCTCTTTATAGAAAGAAAGCAGTCAGATTAAGGGCCCACCCTACTCATGTATGACCTTAGCTTAAATTAATAATTACATCTGAAAAATCCTATTTCCAAATAAGGTCACATTCTGAGATATTGGAGGTTAGGGCTTTAGCATTATCATTTTGGGGGAGACAGTCAACCCATAACATTGCCTCATAAGATTATAATTATGTAGAATTTATATTATGGAGTTTTATATATATTATAGAATTTTATATTTTTGTCTTTGAAGAAAAGGAAATTCAGAAGACTTTCTAATTCTAGTCAAGTAAGATTTTTTTAGAGATGTTTAGTTAATTTTCTTCACTTAAGATATGTCGAAGAGTGAAGTTAATTTCTCATAGGGCTTTGGGAAGCTTGTAAATATTTGTAAAATATTGTGAAAACTTTTTAAAAAAACTTCTCTTTTTTAATCATGATAGTCACATAATTAATTGGCATCTTGAACTGGTATGCCTGTATACCTGAAAATAGACATTAATTACAAGTAATAGACATGCAAGAAATTAAAATAATTTTAGGAATATCAAAGTAGTTTGAAAAGGTTGAATATTGCCTGTGCTTCAGGAATTGCTCTCACATATGACATCCTTTAACAGTTCACAAACATAACCTCTCTTTTCTGTCTCTCTGTGCATATATAGAATATATATATATCTTTTTAACTTAAAGGCACTAATATCTGTCACATACAGTATATGTTATATATAAAACAGGTTTTAAATCTTTTATAGAATATATAAATTGTAATTTTTTCCTAAATTGTGATTTTAACTTTAATGCTTTTAGACTTAAATTTTAATATAAATATATCCAACTTATGTGATATATAGCTTATATTAAAGGTAAGCTTATATATTATAAAACTATAAATATAAATACCACACAAATGTGTAAATAACACATAAATCATACATACTATGTTCATATTATTACATATAATTTAGCTTTGATGCTTTTAAACCTATTTTAAATAACAATTTAGTAAGGAATTGTTTTTTAAAATGTACTTTTTAATAGATTATGCTGTAATTGTACCTCAGTCTTATATTCTTAGAACAAAATTTTATGGTTAGTATTTCAAAAATTAAACTTTATAACAGGACTTAGTGTTCGCGAAGGTTTTAGGAAACAAATATTTTATATAGAAGAAATTCCTATATTTTTAACATCACAAGAAATGGGTAAATTACTGGATGAGAGTTTTGGTTTTTTTTCCTAGATTCCAGATGTGGGAGCATTATTTCCATAATTAGAATTAAAAATTGATCCTGATATTTTAATTTTGTTTTTTTATTCTGTGTTTGATTTTAAACATTCTTAAGTCCTTGGTCCCAGGAAGTAGAGATGATTAAACATAATTTATAGACACTAAATGGCAATCATCATATATATCGAATTGAAAGAAAAATACAGTATATACTGGTTTAAAAATAAATGTTTTCTTTAAAGGATATATCGTAGATATGTTGCGTGAAGTAAATACAAGTGCTGGTATTTCTGTGCCTGTATGGTTTTTCCTCCTCAATCTTTCTGTGCCCTACCTATGTGTTACTAGAGAACATTTCTACAAATTTTCAATCACAAAAAAACAAAAATACAATAAAGCCAAGACAGGAAGGGAAGAGGACAGTTTGGAGTTGCTAATTCATTTATGGTGATGGTTTATAATGACATACAAATCATATTGTATAATATATTATACCAAAAAAGATGACTCTAGGTGATGATTAAGCTTTTTATAAATCATTAGCCCTAACAATCCTTTGCTTTTTTACATTTGAATATTTGGGGCAGTAATGAGGCTAGATATAGATGTTTACATTTCTGTATTTTTAAGGACCTTCTCTGGTGGCTAAAACAAAATTATACAGAGAAGCATCAGCAAGCCCTCAAATGAGCTACAAAACCAATACAGTAATCACAGTTTAAAAATAGCAGTCAAAACCATCTACATAGGGATACTAGTACTTTGAATAGTGTCCATTTATGTAAGTTACAGCAAGGTCTGGTAATTCCTCTGAACAACTTTGATCTTTTTTTAAAGTAATCTCCTTTTTTGTGCTTTGCTTTAAGCATTTGCTAATCTCATATTCTTTTTAAAAGGATTACATTGACAAATTGGTATTGCTATAGATACTGAGTTCAGACTTTGATGTAACCTCAGAGATCATATATTGTTCAAAAAGGCCCATCTTCATTTAAGGAAAGCATTTGACAATGTTCATATATAGAGAGTGTATATATATGAATATATGTATGAATATATGTAGGTATGTATATATATGTATGTGTATATGTACACATATACATATTTATATCTGTGTGTGACTAATGCAGTTACATTCTATATAATAATATTATTAACTCAATTTTGGGGGAATTGAGGAATCAAAGTTTGTTGATAGCTTTTTGTCAATTTGCAGGGGACGCTCTTATAGCTCTGCATCAGCTATTTTTTTCTTAGCACATTTTTTAATTGTTTAGTAGAAGATTTGAAAAGGAAGCAATATAGTATTGCAGTTAAGCTCCCTGGTTTTTGTTGATAACATAGTTTTGCATCTTAGCTCCTTACTCATTTGGCAAGTTATCAAACTTGGCAAAACTTAAGTTTCCTTAAAAATTAAGGTCATAGTATACTTCATATGAGTGATTGAAATATTAAATGAAATAGTCCGTATAACACTTAGAAATAACAAGTATTCATAAATATCATTGAGATTATTATTAATATCACTTATTTATCTGTGTTAACTGAATTTATATATGGTATAAAACTTAGATATAATAACTGCCAAAAACAACAAGAAGAATACAAAGTTATTAATTTGTATTTTAAAATGAAAAGATTGAGGAAATTTTTGTTAATAGATATTAATGATTGAACAGTGTCATGAAAGTTAAAATCTTATTCCATTTCAGGTTTTTAAAACAGTGGAATTGTAGTATATCAAATATAGTTGTTTTGCAGTATTTTGCACTTGTCTGTCCTTTCGTGAACAAACACTTGTTGAATATCTCCCCCAGTGCTTGGGGTTTAGCCCTACATTTTAGGTGGGATATATGAAAGGAGGTGTAAAAATTCTGTCCTCATATGGATTGAAGGAATTCAATCCATGTATTAGGGGAGAAAAAGTTATGTTCAGGTTTGATAGCTCCTTTCAGATATCTCAGTTTATGATATTGAAGAGAAGGCAGTATTGTTTATTATTTCTAAATGCCAAATCAGAGCTATTAGGTAGAAGTTACAAAGTGACAGATTTTAACTCAAAGCTCAGAAGAACCTTGCTTCTATGAAAACTTCTATAAGGCAGTGTGGATTTATTCATAAGGTATGAAAGCCTTTGGAAGTATTTAAAACACATCTGTCTAGCTTTCCTACAGTGTACAGAATATTAAACTTTGGGGGGAATTGTGGGGAGTAGTATTTAAAGGACCTGTGAACTTGGATGTAAAAAATTTTAAGTGAACTCTAACATTTTAAAAAATTAGAGAATATAATATAAGCAGCACATCTGTGACTTTGTCCTCAGTAGAACTTACAGATATTTTCAGATCACCTTAGAATTGTTACAGAGAACACAAAATGTTGCTCATGGCCATTATATCACAATTTGCATTCAAACTTGTAATTATCAGAGTCCAGAGTCACCACTAAATCTTATGTTATTTAATATATTAATAAAGAAATATATATATATCGCCGGGCACGGTGACTCGTGCCTGTAATCCCAGCACTTTGGGAGGCCAAGGTGGGCCGATCATGAGGTCAGAAGATTGAGACCATCCTAGCTAACACGGTGAAACCCCGTCTCTACTAAAAATACAAAAAATTAGCTGGGCGTGGTGGCGGGTGCCTGTAGTCCCAGCTCCTTGGGAGGCTGAGGCAGGAGAATGGCGTGAACCCGGGAGATGGAGCTTGCAGTGAGCCGAGATCGTGCCGCTGCACTCCAGCCTGGGTGACTATACTCTAGTTTGTTTTTTAAAAATGTTTTGATACTGTGTTGTTTCAGTTTAATTGTTCTTCCTTATAATTCTATATTTTATTTTGACCATTCCAAAACATTCTGAGAAGCTGGTTCATAGGCTTCCCTGTAAGTATGGTCAGTAGTACCAAAAAAGTTAAGAAACTTGTGATCTAGTGGAATGGGATTTATCAACTGTAGCTTGAGATTTGAAAGGCTATTCCAGTGAATGGGTTCTGCTGTATACTTAGGTACTAAGGCAAGCTTTCCACCTTTTTCCTGCTCCCAGCACCTGATGGATATTACATTACATGGTCTTACCAGAGTCAGTGGTTTAATTCAGAAGCATCTGAGTGTGTGTGCACATGTGTGTATGTGTTGGGTGTTGGTACAAGAGATGTAGTGTTCAGTGTTCTTCAGATGATTTTATTTTTTAAATGTACAGATAGATATGTGTATCTCCCTATTAAAAATCACTTCAAATGTAAGTTTAACCTGTGTTTGTGATCTTTGTTGAATATGAAAACAGTGCCACTTTTTTCCTATAATTTGTATGTGAGAATATTTCGGGCTGACTTCCAGAATGTGATGAAATGAAACAGCACTTATTGGGGAAAGCTATTCATTTGACTTTTTAATAGTGTGCTCATTTTTATTTTGTTTTCTGCTGTTTTTTCTTTTCTTTTTTTTTTTTTTTAAAAGAATCCTGATGTCCATCCAAAAGAAACAACTCCCTCATCTACTTTCACTGGTATTCGACCTGCACGAGTTGTGTCTTCAACTTCTGAGGAGGAGGAAGCATTTACTGAGAAATTTCTTAAAATTAATTGCAAATATATTACCAGTGGCAAGGTAAAGAATGACACTTTAGAGAAGACCTTTAATCATGCTTTCGTTATTACTAACATATAATAGTTTGGCATTTACGTTTTAAGTCATCAGTGTCAGCAAATGCTTGAATATTGTAAAAAGGTGCTGGTGATACTATTATTTTGGGTTAGTATGGATGTTGCTTGTAACTTAGAGTCTGATGATCTGTAGTAATTGTTAAAGGTAATGGGATATAAATAAATTCACTAAGGCACAGCTAAGTTGCTGTTGGTAGGATATTTCAGAAGTGTGAATAAAAAAGACTGCTGCCGGGTACTGTGTGGAGTGTGAACTTCTGCATCACTAGTATAGCACACAAATAGAAAGATATCTAGTATTTATTAAGTACCTTGCCAGAAACTATTTGAGGAGTCTTAATTATTTTATCAATTCAAAACAGTCCTGTGAAATAGACAGTCATATTTCTTTTCTACAGGAAAAAACAAAACAGGAAAGGTTAATAGGTCCAAGATCTCTCTGTAATGGCCAGAATTCAAACCTAGTCATAATCTTTTTTTTTTTTCTTTTTTTTTTTTTTTTCTTTTTTTGAGACGAAGTTTCGCTCTTATTGCCCAGGCTGGAGCGCAGTGGCGTGATCTCGGCTCACTGCCACCTCCGCCTCCTGGGTTCAAGCAATTCTCCTGCCTCAGCCTCCTGAGTAGCTGAGATTATAAGCACCCACCACCACATCCAGCTAATTTTTTATGTTTTTAGTAGAGACAGGGTTTCACCATGTTGGCCAAGCTGGTCTCAAACTCCTAACCTCAGATGATCCACTCGTTTTCAGCCTCCCAAAGTGCTGGGATTACAGGTGTGAGCCATCGCGCCCAGCCCAGAATCTATTTTATCTACTTCACTTTGTTGCTTTTCTAAACAAAAACTTCTAATCTGAAAAGAGAATATAGTAAAGTAATAGAGTTGGAAAATAAACTCCAGGTTTTGCTCAAAAAATGTCTATTACATGATAGTATCTTTAGAAGTCACACATGAGAACTGTGTCTTTATAGTCATAATTCATAAATTTATGAGTATTTGAAACACATAATGAGCATTTAGTGGTATGCATTTCGCCCTAAATATTGTTTTAAATGTTGTGTTTTCATTTTCTTTAAAGTATTTTCTCTTGATTTCTTCTTTGACCCATTTGAGAGTGTTTTATTTTTCTAGATAACTTTCTTTTACTAATTTCTAATTTGATTCTGTGTGATCAGAGAATATACTACTATTTGAAGGCTTAAATTATTAAGACCTGTTTTATGGTCTAGAATATCATATATTTTAATAAATGTAATGTGTGCACTTTAAAAGAATGTGTTGTTGGATGGAATATTCCACAAATGTCAATCAAATAAAATTGAGTGATAGTGTCCTGTATTTCTGGATTTTCTGTATATCAGTTATTGATAGAAGAATTTTGAACTATCTCACTGTTATTGTGGATTTATCTGTTTTTGCCTTTCAGTTCTATCAGTTTTTTTTTTTTAATGTATTTTGAAACTGTTACTAGGCTTAAACATGTTTAGGATTCTTGTGTTGTCTTGATTAATTGACTTGATTGTCATTATGAAAGACATTCTTTATTCTTGGTAATACTCTTTGCAATGAAATCTACTTTGATGTTTACTAATATAGTCACTTTAGCTTCCTTTTGATAAGTGTTAACATGGTTTATCTTTTTCCATTCTTTTATTCATAGCCTGTGACTTTAGAAAGTGAGTTTCCTGTAGTTAGCATGTAGTTAGATCTCACTTCTTTAGATAATCTTTCCCTTTTCATTTAGCGTGATTATTTATATGGTTAGGTTTAACTCTACCATCTTGCTATTAGTTTTTTGTTTGTTCTGTCTTTCTGCTTTCTGTCACATTGAGTTTTTAAAAATAGTTTTATGTTATCTCCTTTGTTGACTTATTAGCTGTAACACTGTCCTATTAGTGGCTGTTTAGAGTTTATAATATATATCTTTAATATGTTACTTTCTCACTTTAAGTAGCATTATAGCGTATATGCCACTTTTCATATAGTACACACACCTTATAACAGTATACTTTTATTTCCCCCTTCAAGCCTCTGTGTTCTTATTGTAACCCCTCTTATTTCTACATGTTATAAACACCACAATACATTGTTATTATTTTTGCTTTAAAAGTTAATTTAAAATAATTTTTAAAATAAGGGTAAAGTCTATTATATTTATCCACTTATTCCTTACGCTTGTCAGTCCTTTTTGTAGATGCAGATTTCCATTTGTATCATTTTTCCTTTTATTTAAGGACTTCTAAATTTCTTATGGTGTAGGTCACCTAGTGATAAATTCTTTCAGTGTTTATTTGCCTTGAGAAAGTCTATATTTTTCCATCTTTTATTAAATGTTACTATCATGTTTATGTATATTTTCTTTTCTTTCTTTCTTTTTTTTTTTTTTTTTTTCCCAAGACAGAGTCTCACTCTGTTGCCCAGGCTGGAGTGCAGTGGCCCGATCTCAGCTCACTGCAACATCCACCTCCCGGGTTCAAGCAGTTCTCCTGCCTCAGCCTCCTAAGTAGCTAGGACTACAGGTGCGCACCACCACGTCTGGCTAATTTTTGTATTTTTTTAATAGAGAGGGGGTTTCACCATGTTGGCCAGGCTGGTCTCGAACTCCTGACCTCATGATCCACCTACCTCAGCCTCCCAAAGTGCTAGGATTACAAGCGTGAGCCACCGCGCGTAGCATGTTTATGTATATTTTCAAAATTATATGTGTGTTTATAAAAAAGGACCCCTAACTTCTAAATTTTATGCCATTTTATCTTTTTTTGGTCCATTGAATTTTTTTAAATTAATATACTTTCATTTTTAGAGCAATTTTGAGTGGACGGAAGAATTGAGCAGAAGCTAGAATTTGTATTTACACTCTCCGCCTTTCCCCAGTTTCCCTTATTAACATCTTGCTCTTGTGTGCTATATGTGTTTCAATCAATGAACCAATATTCAGGCACCAAGGAAAGCCCATAAGATTCTCTCATGTTGTATATTCTATGGGCTATAACAAATGTATAATGACATTTATCTATCATTACGGTATTACCAGATTAGTTTCATTGGGCTAAAAATCCTCTATGTACCACTTATTCATCCCTCTTTCCCTGTCTTTCCCTGAACTCCTGGTAATTAATGATCTTCTTACTGTCTCTATAGTTTTGCCTTTTTTTAGAGTGTCATATAGTTGGAATCATAGAGTATGACTGAATGAATTCATCTTGGCTTCTTTCACTTAGCAGTGTGTGTTTGAGGTTCTTCCATGTCTTTTGCAGCTTGACAGCTTAATTCTTTTTGCTATTACTACTGAATATTCCACTGAGTGGATGTACTGTAGTTTCTCCATTCCCCTATTAAAGGACATCTTGATTACTCTTAAGTTTTGGCACATGTAAATAAAACTACTCTGAACATTCATGTGCAGGTTTTGTGTGGTAAGTTTTCATCTCAGGTAAAATATCAAGGATCATGATTGCTAGATGGTATGGTAAGACCATTGTTAGCTTAGTAAGAAACTGATGAACTCTCCTCCAAAGGACCTGTGCTATTTTGTATCCAGTAAGCAATGGGAATCCCTGTTCCACAGCCTCACCAACATTTGATGTTTTCAGTGTTTTAGACTTCAGCCATTCTATTAGATCTGTAGTAGTAGTATCTCACTGTGTTAATTATAAATTCTCTAATGGCATATAATAGAGCATCTTCTTATATGCTTATTTTCTACCCAGATATCTTCTTCATTTTCGAAAGATATTTTCACTAGACAGAATTTTCAGTTGATGAGGTTTTATTTCTTTTCAGAACTTTAAAAATTTACTCCACTGTTTTCTGGCTCGCGTTTTTCTAAAGTGAAGTCTTGCATTATTTTTATGTTTGGTGTTCTGTTAAAAAATGTGTCTATCTTTGGTTGCACTTAAAATGTTCTATTTGTCACTGATTTTGAGCAATTTTATTAGGATGTGCCTTGGTATATTTTTTGTATTTGTTTTGCTGAGGATTCCTTTAGCTTTGTTCTGTAGGTTTATAGTTCATGCCAAATTTGGAAAATGGCCAGATTTCTTCAAATATTTTTTGTCTCCCATCCTCTCTTTCCTCTTCTTTGTGAACTCCAATTCTGCATATTTTAGGCTGCTTGACATTGGGTCTCACAGCTCCCTCATACTCCATTCATTCTTTTCCTCTGTTTTCATTTTGGATAATTTTAATTGCTTATTTTTAAATTCACCAGTATTTTTTCTGCCATGGCTAATCTACTCTTAATCCTATCCAGCATATTTCATCTCACACATTGTAGTTTTTCTCCCTGTAAGTTCATACTGGGTCTCTTGTATTTTCCATATCCATACTGTGTATAATCTTCTATATTGTTGAATATGGTTATAATAATTGTTTTAATGTCTTTTTTTGTACCAGTTCTTCCATCTCTGTTACTTCTGTATCTGTTTGCTTTTATTGATTTTTCTCTTTAATGTGGTTCATTTTTTTCTGTTTATTTACATGCCTGGTAATTTTTGATTGGCTACCAGACATCATGAATTTTATGTAATTGGATACTGAATATTTTTGTATTCCTATATATATTTTGTACTTTTTATCTGTGGCACCGTTATTTCTTGATCCTATTGTGGCTTTTTTTTCTTTGATGATCACTTGGTAATGGCTTGTTCATAAGTTTTGTTAAGACGATAACAGCCTTTAGTCTGTAGCTAATTTTTCTCCTTACTAAGACAATACACTTGTAAGTGTTCTGAGGCTTTGTAAATACAAGATTTTTTTGCTTTAATGTTTAGTGAGAACACGAACTATTCTTACTGTGGGGACACTGAGTATCGTTTCTTCTGCTCTTTTTAAGTACTCTCCTCTTATCCTTGGATAGCTGCTATACATGTAGGTGGTAATCAGTACTCAGTTCAAAGCTGGAAGGGAACCCTTTGTAGACCTCTAAAGCTTTCTCACTGGACAGTGCTCATTTCTGGGTTGGTTTGTTGTTTTGCTTGTTTTTTCTCTGCCTGTGGACTGGAAACTTTCTCCACTCAGTATGCTTGGGTAATCAAAGAGCTGATCTTACATGTTTCTCCTTATTCAGGTATCGTTGCCTAGCATTCCAGTTTCTGAAAACAATTATGTCACGTATTTTGTGTAAGTGGTGTGTGTGTGTGTGTGTGTGTGTGTGTGTGTGTGTGTGTTGTAGTTTTAGGCAGCATTAGTTCTTGGCTAGAAGCAGAAGTTCATTTGATATCTGAACAAAAATTTTATTTAAGGATCAAAGCAAAGATAAGGTCATTGGCAGGATTCGGAGTGATCCGCAGCCTGGTGTCTTTGGGATGTAATCCCTTGTAGGCTGGCTCTGTGTATTCTCTGTACAGTAGGAGAGAAGCAGAAAGTGGTGCTTTCTCATGGAAGTTTTTTTTTCTTTTTTCATCTTCCTGCAAGTTGATTATAGTAAAGGTTATTTATGTAAAATTATGGAAACTTATGAACAATAACTATAATGGTTAAGTTATTGTGGATGTAAGACTGAAAAAATATCAGTATAAGCTTTTCTCTTTGCTAGGATGGATTCTCAATTATAATGATTGTATCTCTTAGTATTTGCAGAAATATTGTAATGTAAGTGGTAATTTTTCTTTTGCAGATAGACTTTTTTTTTTTTTTACTTAATTTTCTAATAGAAATAATTTCTCCTTAGAAGATTAGTCAGGTAGTTACACATAAGGAAATGGAAGTTGTTAATACAAAAGAATAATCTGCGCTTAAAGTTTCTGAAGGTCACGTGGATTAAGTAGATACTTTAATTGAAAATGTCTTGCTCATAATAGTGTTAATATAATGCGGATAATATGTAGGAGTTATGAAATATTTTAAAGGTAATGAGATGGGGGTGCTTTAGCATGAGTTTATGATTTTCAACTTGATCAAATGAATTTGAGAATCTACTTTTTCAAGACATTTTCATGAATTTTATGTTGAAGAAATGCTTCTCTTGGCCAACTCTTGATTTATGGAGAATGACATCTGACAGATTACCGCAGAAAGCCCCAGCTGTATGGGAACTTTGAATGTGTAGCAGAGGGAAGGAAACTTAAAGAATATATCAGTGTGTCTTTTTAGTAATAGCACATAAGGGAGATTCCTGGAAAGTAACATTAGCAGATTGATCTGTCTAGTGGGTAGGACTTCAAACCCTTTCTAATCCAAAAAGTAGAAGCATGGTTTTGAGATGCTTTTCAAATGACTTGTGTAGTTACAGTACTAGGATTGTAGTATTAAGATATATAGAGAATTAAAAGCATCATCAGTATACTGGGCCTTTTCTGTCATACATAGCTGGTTATCACTGACTTTGTGAAAATCTTCCTAAAAGACAAGACAAAATGTAGTGTTATGCTAGTGAACCAAATAATCGGTTAAAACTAATGCAAAGGTGAAATTTATGAAATGAAGAGTAACCTGAAGTCTTTCAGAGGATTTAGAGCTTGATTTTTTTTTATTTCTAGCTGACTGCTTGGTTTCCTTTCTCAAATAAGTTTACAGAAGATGGGAGAGAGGAAGTTACGAAAGATCAGAAACCTTTAAAGTTGTTGTTGTTTTTTTTTAACATCAAATATACTGTATCCTTGATTATCTACATCTTGGATTATCCCTGACAATGTAAATGTTCTCTACAATGTACTTTACCATCTCTCATTGACTTGAGTTGGTACGTGACCCAGGAATACAAACTGATGTGTATGGATCTCATTAAAATATTAATTGAAAGAGAAATAGGCTGTAGTTTATATAAAGTTACTTCTTATTTAGGTGGTCCATGTCTTCAACTAAATGAGGTGCTATTCAGAGTTTCATATTGATTCCTTCTCCCTCACCAAACTGCACACACACACGTATACTCTTCTTTCCAATATTGTATGCATTAACTGTATATGATCTTGAACATCTGCAGTAGCTTTTTTTCACTTGTGATTGGATGACCATTTTCTGTAGATTTACTTTTTATTTGATCATTTTTAAAAGCAATATCTGCCATAACTTAATTTTTGTATTCTTAAAGTTAAACCAGGTAAATTCACAGAACTGAATATGGACTTGGGAGGAGGGTGTGATGCCAAATCAATCAGGATTTGAATTTTTCTTTTTACTTGGATAAGAAGCTATTTAGTTTATTTTTAAAATTATTTCTGGCTCTTCATTTTTACAGTTGCAGGATATATAGTGGACTGAAAATTTGAAAATGAAATTAAGGAACGTTGTGCCTTTGGAGTGATTATAGTTTGTGACTTGGATACAGAGGAATTATATGTAGCATAAAACATGAACTACCTGGACTTCAAATCCTAGCTGTTTAGGACTAGTTTCTGGGTGTTTCTCAGCATTAGTTTCTCCATCAGTAAAATGGAAATGGTTTTCCCCATCTCAGAGCTATGATTGTGAAGATCAGATAAGTAATATGCATATATACATGCATGATACATATGAAGTATTCAGTAAATATTCATGTTAATGTGATCAGCTGCCTGTGGACCCTAGTTTGCTCATTTATAAAATAAGAAGGTTGAACTTTTAAGATTTGTATCACTATTTTATTTATTTATTTTATTTTATTTTTTTTGAGATGGAGTCTCACTCTGTTGCCCAGGCTGGAGTGCCATGGTGTGATTTCAGCTGACTACAACCTCTGCCTCACGGGTTCAAGCGATTTGCATGCCTAAGCCTCCCAAGTAGCTGGGATTACAGGCACATACCACCAGGCCCAGCTAGTTTGTGGTTTTTAATAGAGACGAGGTTTCACCATGTTGGCCAGGCTGGTCTGGAAGTCCTGGCCTCAAGTGATCCACCCACCTCAGCCTCCCAGAGTGCTGGGATTACAGGCGTAAGCCACCGTGCCTGCCCTGTATCACTATTTATATAAATATATTTAAAAGTTTATAGCTTTTCATGGTGAGTTTAAAGTATATGTACACTATATACTTTAGATGTCATATAATCTACGTAATTTTACAGATGAAGAAATAAGCCCAGAGACTCCTTGCCCAAGGTCACAAATCTAGGTAGTAGCAGAGTCAAGTGGAAACACATTTTTTAAAGATATGTTTTAAAGATATTACACTCTTTTCTTTTTATAATATAATGGATTGGATTATCAACATTATTTATTGAGTCTGCACTGTATACATGACACTGTATTTGATACTTGTAGTGAGGGAATAACACAGGAAGCAGTATGCAGATTAACATAAAAGGTGGCACATGCCTTGCATGACTTTATAGTCCCTTCTTACCTTACTGAGGTTACCTTTCTCTTATGAGGTAACTCAGTATTTTACTCAGTTTGCAAATTTTATTTCCTTACTTGATTGTCTTTGGGGGAATATGATATTCTACCTCTCCTAAAGAGGAGAATTTACTGGGAAAACTTGGGTTTTAATAAAAATGCTTTCATGAGAATGCCACAGTTCCTGAGTGTACTATTTTTATATATGGCCTAACATCAGAAGAAAATTAGTAAAAATAGCTAGATAATTTTTGAAATACCAACCTTGAGGATTAAATGTTATTTTCTTTTTTCACCTTAGGGCACAGTCAGTGGTGTGCTGCTAGTTACACCAAATAATATAATGTTTGATCCACATAAAACTGACCCTTTGGTTCAAGAGAATGGCTGTGAGGAATATGGCATCATGTGTCCAATGGAAGAGGTGATGTCAGCTGCAATGTACAAAGAAATTTTGGATAGCAAAATAAAGGAATCCTTACCCATGTAAGAGTGACATTTATATTCCTTTGCAACTTTATTGTATCTAGATAGTTGATCCTTGTCTAATACCTTAACTATTTTTAATAGTTTTCTTATAGCTGCCTTTTATTTTGTCAATAATGAAACAAAAATATATGCATTATTGAGAAGATTATTCTTAATTTGCACCTGGGATAGTTAGGAATTATCTTAGGTTTGTATTTGTGTATGTGGTCAGAGAACCAGATATTTGAAAAGCAACCTATAGTGCCCATTTAATTCAGTGTTTACCAGCCCTTTTTATTCAGACACAGCTTTCAGTATTCTAAATTACCCCTGTGAATAATCACTGTCGGGGTAGTTTTCAAATTTCCCTTGGAAGTGACTGAAGAGGTGTGATTTGGGAGAGGCCACATGAGCAAAGACCTGACATTGCTGTGGGCAAGACAGCTTTTTTTTTTTTTAATTGATTTATATGTTTGCAATCTTCTCTCCCAGTGTAAAATATAGTGTAAAGTACAGGGAAGAAAACCCACAACTTGCTCAAATATAAAGAGTTAACTTTGGAATATACTGGTCAGAGGATTTGTGTGATATGTTAAGATAGCTGTGAGACTACAGTGTGGACACAGCTTTTGAAAGTAATATGCTTGTCCAAAGTAATGGGCAGAAAGAAAAGTAGGAATGGGAAATAAAAGGAGAAAAAGATAAAAGGTATACAAAGAAAGGAAGGAGAAGTAGCAAGGAAGAAAATTGATATGTACTAGGAAATAACCTCCTCATTCCTTCATAGATTACTACCAACATTTTAAAATTGTCTTCACTTTAACTGATACTGATATTTATATACCTGTGTTAACCCGCAGGAATGATAGCTGTTTTAAAATTAACCCTTGTGGGGCAGAGCAACTTACAAAGGAAAAAAGGAACAAATTATTTTTGTTTCTGAGGAAGACTAAATGAATTGGTAGAATATCTGTGACAGAATAAAATCATTTGCTCAAAAAGTCTCCACTTTACCTCCCACCCAACAGATACTATTTTGACATGGTAGACTAATATTTAGAGTTGCAGATAATTCCTAGAAGGTGTTAGTATCCTCTGTATTAGTTATATTTGTAGATCATCATCCAAGGCCAGTTTCAGCAAATAAGGATTATTGTGGGAGTGGATAATGGGATGAGACAAAGGTAAAAGAGTGAAGGATTAGATTCAGAGAAGAGGAAGGAGATACATATATAGATATACATATATGTGTGTATATATATAGAGAGAGAGAAAGAGAGAGAGAGAGACAGTCATTGGTGAGATTATTTTTCTGTTGACCTCGTTTTCTTTCTTTTTCTTTTTCTTTCTTTTTTTTTTTTTGAGATGGAATCTCGCTGTATCACCCAGTCTGGAATGCAGTAGCACCATCTGCAACATCCTCCTCCTGGGTTCAAGCAGTTCTCCTGCCTTAGTCTTCCGAGTAGCTGAGAATATAGACACCTGCCACCACATCTGGCTAATTTTTGTATTTTTAGTAGAGACAGGGTTTCATCATGTTGGCCAGGTTGGTCTCGAACTCCTGACCTCAAGTGATACGCTGGCCTAGGCCTGCCAAAGTGCTGGGATTATAGGTGTGAGCCACAGTGCCTGGCTTTGTCCTTTTCCATTTGCAATATGGTACTTTGGGGTTCTCTTATTCCAAACAATCTATCACTATTCTACAAGGATGCTGTATAGCTCTTCCCTTTCAAATCACTGTTTTATCATTCATCGTCACCTGGAAAGTGTCACCTGGATTTAAATGTTTAAAGATATTTCTTCAAAAAGAAATATCTTTAAATTCTGCCTTATGGATTGATTAAAAACAATATTTGGCACAAAATTAGATAAATAAAACAAATGTATGGCAAAAATGAGGTATAAGATTTGATTGCTTTTCTTCTGTCTTATACTCCTTGGAAGGTTGATTTCAAAGGTATTATGGTATTACATTCAACAGTAGCAACATCATTGGCATAAATGTTTATAGCCTTTCAGCATATTAAATCTGAAGAGTATAGCACTTTTCTAAATATATATCCTGTCATGTTTGTTATACTTATCTCTTACATAAGGGTCTTCTAATTTTTTTAATGTGCAGATAAAATTTCTCAAAACTTTAGCCCGTTCCAACACCCTATAGGTGCAGTTTGAATGCATCACCAGTAGATGACACTATTGTATATTTAATAACAAACTAGATTCTTGTGTTTTTTAAAATGAATCAGATACAAAGGCAGCAGAGATATTGACTTCAACTAATTAATACTTAAAAAATGTATCCATCCTAGTTGTAGAAGTTATGCATACTTGTTACAGAAAAATTGGAAAATACCAAAAAACGGAACAAGAGAAAAAGAGTTACCCAGCTTCACCATTCAGAGATAGCCAATTATTTTTGTGTTGACTTACTTTCCAATCTTATCTATTCAGCATATTTTACATGGTTCTCAAACGATATATATATATATATATAAATGTTAATACTTTTTTCGTTAAGAATGCATATAATTTTCATTTATCACAAACTTCTTGTAACCATCATTTTAAATTACCAACTTACGTTGCATGGTATAGAGGTTTACACTCCCTCTTTCCAGAACTTAACTTTTGAACATTAGTGTTTACACATACAAATGACATTAAATCTGAAAGTTTAGACCCAGTTATGAACCATTCATTTTTCTAATATATAAACTTTTTACCTGAACAAGTTCTCTTAGAGGTGTTAAAGAGTATACTTGTTAGTGTGAAGATTTTCTCTGAATACTTTTGTTTGAGTTCTATTCAGATTGGTTTTAAGCCTTACATTTGAGCCATATATTTTAGTTTAAGCTCCATTTGAATGTAAATAAGCACTCTGTCTGTGTGTGTGTGTGTGTGTGTGTGTGTGTGTGTGTGTGTGGAAATCAGTTTTTTTTACTTTATTGGGAGATTTAAAATTTTAATTAAACATTTCTCTATGTTTATTTTCCATATTCCATCAGTGAATAAATTTTAGTTTAGAATTATAGCTTTACCCAGGAATTATGTCATCAAATTCCCTTCAAGTAGATTACTTGCAAGGAAATCTTACTTTGATATTTCCCAAATATTAAGCAATTGATGTAAAAGTTTGGCTTGATTACTTGATTTATAGAATTACTTGGTCTGTAAACTTAATTATTTGGTCATATTGAATAAATCAGATTTTTTATATTCTCTGGAGATACGTGCTACATCCCTTTGTTAAAAAGCCTTTTTAGTGATATTAATTCAGTGTTCAGTGTGTGGAAAATAAAATACCACAATTTTAAAAGTCTAATTACTTTTAATTTTGTTTAATGACAGAGAAATAGATCAGCTATCAGGAAGGGACTTCTGCCATTCAAAGAAAATGACAGGAAGTAACACTGAGGAAATAGACTCAAGAATCCGAGATGCAGGTAATGATAGTGCCAGCACTGCTCCTAGGAGCACTGAGGGGTCTCTTTCTGAAGATGTGTTCACAGAATCAGAACTTTCCCCTATACGAGAGGAGCTTGTATCTTCAGATGAACTGCAACAAGATAAATCTTCTGGTGCGTCATCAGAATCTGTGCAAACTGTCAATCAGACTGAAGTAGAAAGTCTGACAGTCAAATCAGAATCTACTGGTACTCCTGGTCACTCAAGATCTGATACTGAACATTCTACAAATGAAGTTGGGACTTTATGTCATAAAACTGATTTAAATAATCTTGAAATGGCCATTAAGGAAGGAGATCAGATTGCAGATAACTTTCAAGGAATATCAGGCCCTAAAGAAGACAGTACAAATATAAAAGGTAATTCAGACCAGGATTTTTTTCTTCGTGAGAATTCTCTACACCAAGAAGAGAGTAAAAAAGAAAATATGCCTTGTGGGGAAACAGCAGAATTTAAACAAAAGCAAACTGTTAAAGGGAAACAAGGAAAGGAGCAAAATCGGGACTCAGAGACAGAGGTAGAAGAGCTACGCAAACTTTGGAAAACCCATACTATGCAACAAACTAAACAGCAAAGGGAAAATATTCAACAAGTGTCACAAAAAGAAGCTAAGCATAAAATTACATCTGCTGATGGACACATAGAAAGTAAGTGTTATAGAGTAAATAAAGTTAGTTCATCCGATTCTATGGTATCTCCGTCTTTCCTCACTGACTCAAAAGCCACTGTACCTTAGGCCAACCTGAAGGATAAGCGAGTGACCCTTGACTGATGATTCTCTGGGGACAAGTATATAGAGTCTCCAGTGTCTGCTGTCTTTTCTTATCCCACAGGTGGATCGTACACATAATGAGCATCATTGCTACCCACGATGTTTAAACATTCTTGGCTCACTATATCCTGTCGTTAAATAATTTATTTCTTGAGAAAGTGCACAAAAGCTGTATAATACCTTTGATCACTCCATTTTCTTTTAAAAAGTTTTGGTATGTTACCATTAAAAATGTCTTTTTTCATATATAACATTTTAATTGCCAAAGTTGTAATCCCATCTTTATAAAAGTACAGTTAAACATAAAAATGTATTTATAGAATTCTTTCACATATCGAGAAGTTTCATCATCATTATCTAATTACTTTCTTTTAAAAACCTGCACTCAGGACAAATAAAAACACTATTTTATCTTTCAGTTTTCTGGTACTGTTTACTTCTGACAATTATACTATTTTCAGTCTTGTATTTCTAATATACTGTGCTTCTGTTAATACATTATGGGTTAAATGGGGTATAACAACTAACTTAGCTAACATTTCTGATATTAATTCTATTAGAATATTTATCCCAGATTAATCCAATTTACATGTGAACTTTCATTTTTTAAATTCAAAGATTTTTGTTTTGCTGTAATACATAAAATAAAATTTATGACTTTTTTAAATTGTGGTAAAATGTAACATAAATACATTATCTGAAGCATTTTTATATCTACAGTGCAGTGGTATTAGAACATTCACATTGTTATGCAGATCATCACTACTGTCCATTTCCAGAGCTTTTTTCATCTTCTGAACTTGAAACTCTGTACCCATTAAACAATAAGTTGTCCAGGCATGGTGGCTTATGCCTGTAATCCTATCACTTTGGGAGGCTGAGGCAGGCAGGTTGCTTGAACCTAAGAGTTGGAGAACAGCTTGGGCACCATGGTAAAACCCTGTTTCTAGAAAAAAAAATTACAAAAATTAGTCAGACATGCTGGTGCACACCTGTAGGCCCAATACTCGGGAGACGGAGATGGGAGAATTGATTGAACCCAGGAGGTCGAGGCTGCTGTGAGCCATGGTCATGCCACTGCACTCCAGCCTGAGCAACAGAGCAAGATCCTTTCTCAAACAAAAAAATAAAATACAAAAACGAATAACTTGCTTTTCTCCCTTGCTCATAGCTTTTAGCAACCGACATTCTTCGTTTCTGAATTTAACTACTCTAGATACTTCATGTGAGTGGAGTCATACAATATTTATCCATTGATGTTTGGCTTATTTCACTTGGCATAATGCCTTCAAAGATCATTTATTCTGTAGCGTGTGTTAGAATTTCCTATCTTTTTAAGGCTGAATAATATTCCATTGTAAGTGTATACATTTTGTCTATTCCTTTGTTGCTGGACATTTTGGTTGTTTTGACCTTTTGGCTATTGTGAATAATGCTGCTTTGAACATTAGTGTACAAATATCTGTTTGAATCCCTCCTTTGAATTTTTTTTGGGTATATACCCAGAGTGGAGTTCTGGATCATATGGTAACTCTATGTTTAATTTCTTGAGGAACCACTGTACTGTTTTCCATAGTGGCCGCACCATTTTACCTTCCCCGCAGCAGTACACAAGATTTGGCTCAGTTTTTAAAATACCGAATTTTCTGTTCATCATCCAGTTGAGATACCCTGAAGATCTAAGGGCTGTGTTCAGTAGATATTAAAAGAATTCATGTATTAATACTTGAACCAAGTTCTATAAAAGATCAAATATTTTTCTTCTGTAATCCTTTTTTTAATTCAAAACTAATGCATGTTCAGTAAAGAACATTTGGCAAACATAGGAAGATTCTAGAAAGTTTATAAAAATCACCTGGAATTCGTCACCCAGGAACGATCATTGTTAACATTCAATATATTTGTCTTTCTTATAGAATAAAATCATACATATTAATTTGTTATTTACATCAAATCAAGAGTATACTATACTATTGTATCCTACTTTTTTATGTCATGAACCTTTTCCCATGTCATTACAGTTGTTTGAAAACATGGCTTTAATGGCCCTAAAATTTATTTAACTATTTGCTTATTAAGACATCCAGTTGTTATTAAAAATCTGTATTGTTAAGAGATTTTAAAGAATGCTGCCCAGCATTCTTCAAAACATCAAAGACAGAAAATGCATCTGATAGTTACCTTATATTTTGAAGATCTTTGACTACATCTGATAGTTATATTATAAAACCTTTGAAAACGATAAAATAATCCATTTAACCTGATAATGTGGTGGACTAATTTTGTTGTGGGGGTTTGGGGTTTAATGGGGTTAGGGGAGGTTATTATAACCAAATATTAAAAGGAGAAAAATTGATAGATATTTTTAAACAGACATCTCTAAGCTGTTACCATTTGTTTTCTTATTTTTTTGGAATAATTAGTTTTAAGTAATTTTAAGTTATTTCATATTCTGTAATAGAGAAATATTCAAACTTTCTGATCTTTATGACTTTATAATAAAATTATGTAATAAATATAAAACTGTCTAGTACAATTATGAGAAGAATGGTGAAAGTTCATCGTTTTGACCACATGAAAATAGCGGGGTTCCCATAGATTATCTACCTTGTATAATACTGCACAGAAAAAGCCATGACGAGTACCCAGATCTCCTGACTATAAGTGCTATTTCCTCCATTGTGCTGCCTTGGTAAGCTAATAAATGTCTGGGTTCCTAAATTCACCTATATATTCAGACCCTCAGTATACTCTATCAGCACCTCTGGTTGAAAGAGTTAGAACTAATTCATCCTTAATTAGCTGTCCAAACAGTGGCAGAATAACATATTGTTGACTGTTTTATTACAATTTTGTATACATGTAAAAGCATTAGAAACTTCATTAAATTTTTGTCTGGAACAACCATGCTAAGTATGCCTTTAAAACTTCTACAGTTATTTAGATGTCATTCAAAAAGACTGATAGAGAATATGTAGAAAATTATTTATATAATATGTGTGTGTATATAAAATTAGTATGGGTGTTGAAAAAGTAATAATGTTTCTGAAACTTTTACATTTTTTTCTTAATGTCCTCAGACATAATTTTTGTTCATTAACTTGGCTCTTTTGTTAGTTTAGTCATGTTGTATTTGTGACTTTACCTTTGAAGGAAAAAAATATAAATTACTTAAGAAAATTTACTTTAGTGCCGGTAAAGTGAGGTTTTATTCTGTAATTATTTGTCAGAATTTTGAAGGTAAAATTAACTAAACTACTTAAACTTGGTGTATGAGAATTGAATAAACACTGTTTCATCTCAATTCTAGGTTCTGCACTTTTAAAAGAAAAGAGAAGGCATCGATTACATAAGTTCTTGTGTCTCAGAGTCGGAAAACCAATGAGGAAAACATTTGTATCTCAAGCAAGTGCTACAATGCAACAGTATGCACAGAGAGATAAGAAGCATGAATATTGGTTTGCTGTGCCACAAGAAAGGTAAAAAACCCATATGAGGACTTGAAAACATTACTGAGATTCTTTGAACTAAAATTATTTTGTGTATCAAAATACCAATGATAAACTATTGAAACATAGTTTATGATTAAAAGCAGACAATAAGTCTATTTGAAACCATTTTGCCCCTACTTTATAATTTGCCCCATTTTTAATTGCATTCTCTTTTGTAGTTTATTATTTTAAAATGTGAACAAATATCCCATTTGGGGAGTAAAGAAATGTAAGATATACCTTGGAGCAAGAAGAGTCATCAAAATATTATTTAATGAAGCTGCTTCCTGAAGGCAGCTAATGGTATATCATTGTTTATACTAAAAATTCCTCAAATATTCATTAAATACCTTCTGTATACATGACACCAAATTAACTACTAAAAGGATGTAGTGGTCTTCACAATATTTGTGTGTACCCTTTGCACAATTAAATTTTTCATAAGTTTTAAGCAGTTGTAAACGATGTCTATTGTACTATCTTGTGAATTTTTACATTGCAAGTAAATACTGTTACTTATATGCAGTAGAATTGAAACGTTATAACAACTTTCCCTCTCTCCCTATTATTCACTTAAAATTACTTTAACAGACATTGCATCATTACTTTTTCTCTTTAAACTTGTATTTCCATAATACCACCTCACACAATCTCATAAGGTGCTATATTTTTATCCCCTATTATAGTTCTTTGCAACAAACTACATATACTTAACACATTCACATATCTGTATGTGTGTATACTGAAATTGCATTTATTTTAACATTTTCTGTGACTTGTAAAAATAGTAAAGGGTTAAGGTTTTAGGCTACCTGCAAGCCAACAACTTAGTCTGCCTCCATTTGGTGCATGCTGGGAGAAAGCACAAACATCTGTACAATAGCAGTAATCAGAGCATCAGCAATTGTGAGATTTCTCTGTACCTCCTTTCCCACAAAGAATGTGAAGAAGGCCAAATGACAGCTGCACGTACCTGAGGTTATTTTACAGAAGAGGAACCATAAGTTTAGGGAACCTGAATTTTTATAATGGACAGTAAACATGGTTACCCTTTGCTACACAGTAAGATACTATCTCTACTTTCTAAGATAATGCTATGCTAACATACTTGAAAAGATACTGCTAAACAAAAGTATTACACATAAAAAGTAAAATATCATAGGAAATGCCTGTCTTAAGGAGATAGATGGACCTTTTCTGTATCCATTGATAGATTACTATGTTTCATTGAAAGGATGAGATAGGACTCAGCATCAATTCTGCCTCTCCCTTTTATTTTTCTTTATAAGTACTGAGAAGCTTTGTTCATAGAAAAGTCAGTGAGACTGAAGAGAATTTCATTTTTTTGATAATGTCTTTCAATTATTTAAACTTGTTTCTATGTAATTCCAAAAATTAATCATTTTTGTCACAGTGTTTTTAGTGATCATCAGTGAACAACTCCATTGAAAACTCCTTCAGTTTTGTGGAAATCAATTAATGAGAAACCACCTGACATACAGAAGGACTTATTACCCAGTCTTTATAATCGTTTCGTGTCTCAACACCAATCTTGGACAGCATCGAAGTTTTTATACTGTCGGGCATGTCCCATTGTAAATTCTGAATAGGCGAAGATATGCCCTTCCTTTATAAATTAGAAAAAGTGCTTTAATGAAAGTAGATAACAGGAAATCGATAAAATATCTTGACCATACTGTTTTTAGGCAGATTATTATGAGCAAAGAGTAACATATGGAAATTGGGGATATGCAAATTGATTCCCTTAGCACCATCTCACGTGTTTGTGTACCTCTTGGAAAATCTTTATATGTTGCTTTGGAAGACTACAGCTTTTAGTCGTAAAATGATAATGCTCTTTTCCCTCTTCCCACTCCACCATATATAGAGTTAAGTACAATGTGTGTCTTCCACAACATTGGCTTAATCTTAAAATATGATTTGCATTATGCAAATGATGAATACCTGAAAGGGTCAGAGCCAGATATTCAAACGTGCCAGTGATGTTGAAATCACTCCAATGAGAAATGTAAAAACTAATTTTTTCTCGTTATTCTTGGTTTTATTTTAATGTTTGCATGGAATTTCCTATTTTAATATTCATTCTTATATCTTGGTTAATATTCATTACAAATTAGTATTATTAGGATTCTGCTCTTTATTGTAGACATAAAACTTAGGAAAACTGCTGCATAGATAGTGAGAAATTAATAAAAAGATAAGATATTACATTGAAAGATAAAATGTAGCACCTTTTAAATATGTTAGCTGCCACATAAAGAATGGCAATTTTAAAAATTATTATATTGAAAATATAATTTCTAGAACCATGGTTATTAACTGATATATGTTAGCTGAAAGTTATATAATCAGTTTTCAAAAACATGTTAATTAAAACCAATAAAACAGATATTTGAAATGTGTGTGTGACTCTCAAATATGTTTGTCAGGCAATGTAACAACTGGCTTTACTCTAGTAAACAAAACATTGAAAAGGGAAACCTGAGATTTCTAAGATTAGATCATCTGTCTCTCAACACTGTGTGTTCCTAGTATCATTTAAAATTTAAAGAAATTGCATTTCTATTAACTTGGAAAATTCTATATAATGTCTCAAAATAGGCCATTAATAAATTGTTTACTTGTATTTTAGATAATTAGATTATTGTAGGAATGAGGTCGAAGTTGTGTATCTAATTTCCTTTTCCATCACTAATGTCTTTAAAGAAGAAAAGTATTATTATATACAGCATCTGACCTAGTCAAAAACATGCCAAGGAAAATCTTAATATAGTTTTCTAAAGAACAACCTGACAGAATATAGCCAAATAAAATTTTTGAGTTAATGCCTTCCTGATGGTAGACCTTTTATATTAATATAAAACAATATATTTTGTGTATATTTTAAGTCTTCAAGATTTATCAAGATATTTTACAAATATAATTTTGTAATTCTGGCCACATAGAATACTAGGTATATTAATAGTCACTTCTCCTAACAGGACAGATCATTTGTATGCCTTCTTCATTCAGTGGAGTCCAGAAATATATGCAGAAGATACTGGCGAATATGCCAGAGAACCCGGATTTATAGTAGTAAAAAAGATTGAGGAGTCTGAAACAATTGAGGATTCTAGTAATCAAGCAGCAGCCAGAGAATGGGAGGTAAGGAGAAAAATATGAATATTTTAGTCATCTTTTTAGTTTGTGTAAATTTATAGCTTTATGGTAGTACAAAGTATAAGTGATGTTTGCACAAAAGAGGAATATTTTTTTAAAGGTCAGGTTCACTATCCGTGTTGGTATGTGGTTATTGAATGAATCTGAATAGTGACTTTAATACTATATTTGTCATTCTGCTTTTGCTTTAAAATACTAGAAAACTCACCATCAATAAAATGACTTTTATTGAGTGTGTTATAGAATATTTAGGAAAGATTAACATTATGACAAAAAGGAAATAATTTTAATTTTGCTGTTATATTAATGTTCATAAAACATCGATTTCACATCTGATTTAATTTCAGCTCCTTCATGGAGGAGGTACAGCAGTCATTTAACACGTCTGTGCATAGTATTTGCATAGCATCTATGCAAATTACTACTTCTTTCTAGGTTTCAGACCTACGCATTATCTTGACTTAAATTTTTCAATAATAATTTTAAGGAAATAAGTGGGTGCTAATTTTACAAAGTAGTAGAAATTTTATGTGCTCACATTTCCTGAACTTGTTTAAATGGTCAAAGTAATACTAACAAACTTTTTGTAACTCCTCTTACATATATCTTAAGATTACATATTACATTTTACATGCTTTATCTTATAAGGTTGGTAGGGTGGCAATATCTACATCTGTTGGTGTTGCCCAAATTTGTCTCTTCTTGATGCATTAGAAAATATAGAGCAGATGCTAAAATGTGATAATAAATGTAATCAAAATTTTGTTAATCATTTGGTGTTAATGTTTGTGGCTGTTAATGTGATATGAATATATCTTGCATGCACTTAACATGTATAGTAATTGAACGTATACATGGCTTGTCTTTTGTTTAAAATGCAAACTGATTTGGAATGTGTCTGATTTCATTCTGTGTAGTATATACAGCATCAGTTTATACTGTGACTCCAATATAAGGAAGAGAAAGAAGAACATATTGACTATGTATTTTGGGTATTTTAATACTTAAACCAACATTATCAATCTTCATACCAGCTTTATTCATAATGGCCCCAAATTGGAAAGTCCCATTAGCAGGAGAATGGATGAATACATTTTTGAATACTTACAGAATTCCAGATAACAATAAAAAAGATCTACTGGTACAGGCAACGACATTGATGAATCTCACAAATAATATGTTGAGTAAAAGAAGCCTGACACAAACGAGCATATACTATGTAATTTCATTTACACAAAGTTCAAAAGGACAAACTGTCAGAAATCCACCCCACGACAGGCCCCGGTGTGTGATATACCCCTCTGCACATGTACCCTAGAACTTAAAGTATAATAAAAAATAAAAAATTAAAAAAAAAAAAAAGAAATGCATCATACTACTGGATAACTGGGCTGTGACAGGGTGGCTCAGGGACAGGAGGGAACTTTTTTGAGTTCTGGGGATGTTCTATATGTTACTCTCGGTGGTGGTTACTTAGGTGATTACATATGTAAAAAAAAATATATATATATATATCCCTGAGCTGTGTTTTTAAGATTAGCTTTAGGAGGTACTTAAAATATCCCAGGTGATCAAAGATATGTACCTAACTAAGGCAGCAACAGTTGAAGGTGGAGTGGAGGGTGATGAAATAAAGTTAGAAAAGGTATTAGCTAGCTAATTCACAGGACTTAGTGACAACTTGGTAACCATAAAGTTATCTCTAGCTTGGGTGGCAAGGTGGATGGCAGAATTGTCAGTCACGAACAGGAATTGAGAGCTTTCTCTCCATGAGGTTGGAGTACTTAACTTTGGAAATAAGAGACTATTGACTATTTTGATTCAAAGGAACTGTCTCAGTTTCTGTGCAAGACTCTGCAGGTTATAATTTCTACAGGAAAAATAAATGTCTCCTCAGCAGTCCTTTGACCAGAATTGGTGCAATTCAAAAGAAAATGGAACAGAAAAAAAATAATTTTGGAAACTCCTTGCTACATTGTCTGAAAATATTACTGCAGTATCCAGTATGGTAGCCACTAGCCGTATGTGGCTATTAAGTACTTGAAATGCAGCTAATGCCACTAAGGGACTGCATTGTCAGTTTTAATTATTAATTTAAAAACTGATACTTCGTTCCATTATTGGACAATTTTTAAATATATTAGGAATAACTTAGATATATGATCTACTTTTTCAACTGTAAATTTCATGAACTCTAAATATGATCTAAATCAGTCAATCTAATTAAGGTCAAGTATTTCCTATGAAAATTTAGTGTCTGAATTGAGGTGTGCTGTAGTGTAAAATACTCTACTTCCTATAGCCAATAGCCACATGTAACCATTGAGCATTTAAAATGTGGCCAGTCTCAATTGAAATGAGCTATAGTATAAAATACACACTAGATTTTAATGACTTAGAATGGAAAGAAAAAAGAATGTAAACATCTTGTTTGTTTATACTGATTAATATTGAAGTGATAATATTTTGAATATATTAGCTTAAATGTATTAATAAACTAATTTCACTTTTTTAATGTGGCATCTAGAAAATTTACAATTGTAATGTATCTTACATTATATTGCTCTTGTTATGCCTCATGGATCCTAAATGCCTAAAAAATGTTTGTTAAACTAGGGAGGCCGAGGTGGGTGAATCATGAGGTCAGGAGTTTGAGACCAGCCTGGCCGATAGGGTGAAACCATCTCTACTAAAAATACAAAAATTAGCTGGGCATGGTAGCACGCACCTATAGTCCCAGTTGCTCAGGAGGCTGAGGCAGGAGAATCACTTGAACCTGGGAGGCAGAGGTTGCAGTGAGCCAAGATCACGCCACTATACTCCAGCCTGTGCAACAGAGTGAGACTCCGTCTCAAAAAAATAAATAAATAAAATAAAAATGTTTGTTAAACTAATGAGTACTTGTTTAAGGGAAAGAGTAATTTTAAATGTTAGCATGATTTATTTTAACACAGGAAGAATTTAGCTAAAACCCTTATATAAAACAGTAGTACTTCAGAATGTGCTGTGATGTTTTTTATTTTTGTGTTCTACATAGGAATGGAGAATAGGTGCCCTAGAATTTAGGATGAACTTGTTATGGCTACCAACTTGGGCATCAGTTAGATTTAAACTAACAGCTCTACTCACTGTTATTCTGCTTTAGTGATACTTAAAGAGATCTTTGTTACCCCTGACTGTTATTCAAGCAGAAATATATTGCTAGCCAGAAGTGTATACATTGACTGGGGAAGTTTGTATATGATAAATTTGGTAAACTTATTGTTTATGTTTTTTTCCCTTTCCCTATGTAAGGGTCATAAGGCAGGGATTTGTCAATTTCTTACACTATTATATCTTCAGAACTAAGAATTGTATAGGCGTATAGTTCATTCTCAATATTTATTAATGGATAAACTTAGGCATAGATTAAAATTAAGGTATAAAGCTTCTCATCTTTCAAGATTGCTCTATTTCCTAAAATAAGTTCTTTCATCTGTTGTAGTAAATATTTTTTCATAAAGCCATAGATTCTGGACATTTTAACTGATAGTCCACAGTCTGTCATTTACATTTTGTTGTTGTTGTTGTTGTTCTGTTTAAACATATTCAGTGAAAGAGAATTTATTACCTCAAAGGACAATACTTTACATTTTTGGACAGCTCTCTTAGAAAGTTATTTGTTACAATAAGCTTAAGGAAACATATCTTTGTAAATTTGATTCACTTATCTTTATTCTGTCTTCCAATGCAAGTCAATAACAACAAGAAACATTTTCTATATACTGCGATAGTGTGAAAATATTTGTTGTTTTCCCTTTTAATCTTGTTTCAGAATTATTTTCCCCAGTACTTCAACTGTTTAACTTAATGAACTCTGTTCAGATCTTATATTGTTCATATCAGTACCCTAAAATATGTTAAAAGAATTCATAAACTATGGCACCCCAGATTACTAAATAATCTTGGGATGGCAGGATTAATTCCTGCTAATTACTTGGGATAGCAGGAAAAATTCCATAATATTTTTAAAAATTTTAATTTCCAAATATGAACATTGAAGGTCAGTCCTATTGAAGATAGACAGAAACATATATTTACTAAGAAAAAGAAAATTTAGCCAAATTTTAAGGTGGTCAGTAGTAATAAATCAGTTCCTAAGTATTTGGATAGAGGATCTGAGAAATACTATTCTTATCACTCACTATGTGTAAAGGACTGAATTTCCTCTTTTTGTAACGTCACTTTGTATGCCACAATGATAAAGAGTATTTTGGTGTGGGCCGGGCGTGGTGGGTGACGCCTGTAATCCCAGCATTTTGGGAGGCCAAAGCAGGCGGATCACGAGGTCAGGAGATCAAGACCATCCTGGCTAATGCGGTGAAACCCCGTCTCTACTAAAAATGCAAAAAATTAGCTGGGCGTGGTGGTGGGCACCTCTAGTCCCAGCTACTCGGGCGGCTGAGGCAAGAGAATGGCGTGAACCCAGAAGTCGGAGCATGCAGTGAGCCAAGATTGTGCCACTGCACTGCAGCCTGGGCGACAGAGCGAGACTCTGCCTGAATTAATTGCATCAACATGGCTGCTATTGATGAGAAAGCATGTTTTTAAACAATCAAGGCACAAAATGATTAAAGAAACCTTTCTTCATAGTGAACCAAACTTACATTTTTGGTGTGGTACCCAAATAAAAGAAATATGCATTATGAGTTTTGCTTTTGGGGGTCTGATAACCTTACTTTATAACCAAGAAGGAACTACTTATCATAGTCTTTCCCCTGATTTCTGCCAGTATTCAACACAGGAAGTCAGTAAGTATATCCAGTGTTGTAAAGATACTGTTTGATGCGGGGCTTTGCAGTTCTATGAAAAATATTACTTTTTTTTGATACAGATTGTTTTTATGCCTTTTCACTAAAAAGGGAAGTGCTCTAATGGCATTTTAACAAATTGTCAGACAAGTCCTGAGGTGAAGATGAGGCAGAATGCCTATTGACATCTGCTAT